AGAAAGAAAGAAAGAAAAGGTAAATGGCAGCAAACCCCAGGACTCCTGCATCGCACCTGTAACCTGCCCACTTGGTAAAGAAACAGAACAGCAAACCACAAACGCTACGCAAAGGGCAGGCCGCCCCGGGCAGAGGGCCCTGCCCACAGGCAAGGTGGTGGGGGGCGCAGGAAGAAGCCAGAGCTGGTCTCCCACTTTCTGCCCCGGAGCCCCCATTCCTAACACTGCATCCGGAGGCTGCGTCGATCCGGCCGCTGAAGGGGCTGAGGACCGGCCCGACTCTCGGCTCCTTCTTGTGTTTCTGGTAGGGAAGGAAGGCAGGCGATGGCTTCGAGCCCTCTGCCTCCGGGTCGGAAGGCAGAATCCTCCGAAACCCAGGCAGACGGGACGTGTGGGAGGCTGAGCATCGTCTCCCAGTTAAGGATGGGCGCGAGGGCTCTTGGAGAAAGCTCTCCGAGCGCGTGATCCTGGAAGCTTCTAGCACCAACAGCTCGCTAACTCCTCTCCCGTCCCTGCAGAAGTGAAGGGCCGCGGAGGCGGGAGAGCCCTTCTCCCGTTTCGCGCACCGGAAGTGCTCAGTCGAGGACGCGGTGAGCCCCGCCCGTCCCGGCTTCTCCTCTCGGAACTGGTCAGTGCAGCTCGATGAAAGCCTCCAGCTCCTCGGGGATGAAGCCCTTGTAGGGGATCTTGTTCTTGTCCAGGGCGCGGGCTGCAAGGCACTGCAGGGTGACGTAGTTGAAGGGCTGCAGGGTGCTCCTGGCCAGCAGCTTCTCGTCCAGCAGCTCGTAGGCCGTCTTCTTGAAGGCGTTGGTGGCGTCCATGTGGGCCCCTGCTTCTATCAGGGCGTTCATGATCGCTGGGCAGTTGTTCTGCGCCGCGATGTGCAGCGGGGTGTTGTTGTCAAAGTCCCGGCTGTCAGGGTCCGCCCCGCAGTCGAGCAGCACCTTGACCACCTGCAGGGAGGGGAATCGGCCCACCGGGTAGCGGCCCACGTTCGTGGTCTCCGCGTCCACGGCCATATGTAGAGGAGTGAAGCCGTTCTTGCCCCGGGGGGCGCACTTGAGCAGCCGGTAGACCGTCTGGTGCTTCAGATGCTCCTGGTCGGGTGTGCACTCGACTTTCTCCAGCAGGTAGAGGAGGTGGAGGATGATGGCTAGGGCCTTGGTGAACTGGGCCGAGTCCCCGGGCTCCTTGGGCAGCTGCAGGGCCCGTTCCACCTCCCGGACCCCCTTGCACAGCACCCCCATGAGGTCTGTGAAGCCGATCTGCGTGCCCAGGCTACCCTTGGCAGAGCGGTCCTGGAGCACGTAGGAGAAGAGTTCGGCAAAGGAGAGGAAGCTGCTGGCAGTCATGGGGCTCAGAGGCTCCAGGTTGTTCTGCTGCATGTCCAGGGCGTACTTCCACAAGCGGATGCAGCGCTCGAAATTGCCGGAGTCGGCGTACACAGCGCCGCGATAACGGATATAGTAGGAAGTGTCTGGGTGAGAGGGACCCAGGATACGTTCTCGGATCAACAGGGCCTGCATGCGCATCTCATCCGGGTCGGTGATGAGCGCCTCCAATTCCTCGGCGGTGTTCACCTCCCTGGAATAGTCATAGGCCAGAACCAGCTGCGGGGGCTCGGGTTTAGGCAGATACTCGCCCCCCTGGTGACGCAGCTCCATGGCCCGTCTCCAGTGTTTCAGGGCCCCAAGCAGATCCCGCTTCTTATCTACGTAGGTGGCTCCCAGCAATTCCAAGGCTTCCACGGCAGCTTCCCGGCTGGTGGGGCAGCAGCTCTCGTACGATTCACCGCTCGGTGGTTCCTCCGGGGAGGAGCTGGAGCAGCGGGCCCCCTGGGGCTGCACGCACGTTGGGCTGGTGGAGGGGCCTTCTCCCGACAGCTCTGGCCGCGTCTCCTCCCCGGCAGGCTGCTCCTGGATGAGGTACTCCACGATGTTGGTGTGGCCCGTCACGCTGGCCGCCAGCAGTGGGGTCATGCCGTAGCCGTCACGTTCCATGCGGGCGTTGCACCCGAGCAGTAGCTGCAGGATCTCCAGGCTGCCAGACTCCGCGCAGTCGTGCAGGGCTGTGTTGCCCTTGGCGCTGCGCCGGTTCACCTGGGCGCCCTGCTCCAGCAGGTAGCGGGCGATCTCGCGGTGGCCCTTGTAACAGGAGATCATCAGGCACGTGTGCCCGTGCCGGTTGGCCACCTCCAGGTCCGCCTGGTGCTCGCCCACCAAGTAGCGCACCACCTCCAGGTGCCCGTCGAAGCAGGCGGCGCGCAGGGGCGTCGAGTTGGTACGCGTGGTGCGGTTCACCGAGGCCCCGCGGCGCAGCAGGCTCCGCACCACGTCCAGGTGGCCGGCGGCTGAGGCGGCCCATAGCGGCGGCGCGCCCTCGATGGTCTCGCCATCGAAGTGCACCGAGCCGCCCGCCTCCACGCTCGCGCCGCACCGATCCACCAGGTACTCAACCACGTCCAAGTGGCCGTAACGGGCGGCGATGAGCAGCGGCGTCCCCCCGCTGGCTACCTCGCCGGTCAGCTCGTCCAGCTCCTCCCGGCTCCGGCCGCTGAGCAGCTTCTGAAGCAGCTGCAGCTTGCCGTCGCGGGCGGCGTTGTACACGGCGGTGTGGAGGTCCATGGTCTGGGCCTCCACCAGGCCATGGGCCGGCCGCTGGGGGACGGGGAGACGGCGGACTAGAGCCCGGAGGCGCAGGCTGCAACCTTCACCGTCTCCCCCGCCGCCATCTTAGGGGCTTCTCGGCGGAACAAAATGGCTGCCGCGGCCTGGTGCCGTTGGCGAATGGAAGCATTCAGGGAAATGTAGTCCTCTAAATCGGCCCACTCCATGGGCAGAAAAGGAACGGTGTGACATTAAGACTACAACTCCCAGAAGGGCGCGGGCCAGTAGTGGAGAAAAGTGAGCACGGTGCATTGTGGGAATTGTAGTTCCAACTAAAGTAGATTGCGGCAAAAACTGGCCACGTAAGGACTACGACTCCCGTCATGCACTGCTATCGCGATGGCTTTTGGGACCCGGTTACGTACTTCCTGTATTGTCACAGTGGCTGAGCCGACGGGAAACTCAGGCGCGGGCCAAAGGACTGCATTCTCCAAAGGGCATGACAAGCGACTTGGAGCCAGTCAGGGGCCAGAAGGAAGGCGAAGTCAGGCGAGTGTCTGATTCGGGCTTGGCGAGGCCGAGTCGTACACTGGCAAGGGGGCGCTCGAGAGACGCAGGAAAGTGGGGCGGGGCAGGGACATTGGGGGAGCGGAGAGTACAGGTGGCCCTAAGGGTTAAAGGCCCGCACTCGTTCTCTTCTCCCTCTCCCTCTTCTTCCTCTTTTTTTTTTTTTAATTGAAGTATAGTTGATTTACAATGTTATGCTAGTTTCTGGTGTACACTATAGTGATTCAGTTACATATGTATGTATATATTCTTTTTCATTATAGGTTATTACAAGGTATTGATTGTAGTTCCCTGTGCTATGCAACAGGACCTTGCTTGTCTATTTTATATATAGTTGTTTGTATCTGAAAATCCTAAGCCTGTAAGTTCCCCCTCCCACCCCCCTTTCCCTTTGGTAGGCATAAGTTTGTTTTCTACGTCTGTGAGTCTGCCTGTGTTTTGTAAATAAGTTCTTTTGTGTCATTTTTTAAGATTCCACATATAAGTGATATCATATGATATTTGTCTGTCTCTGACTTACTTCACTTAGTATGATCATCTCTACATCCATCCGTGTTGCTGCAAATGGCATTATTTAATTCTTTTTCATGGCTGGTTAATATTCGATTGTATACTTATACCACAACTTCTTTATCCAGTCATCTGCTGATGGACATTTAGGTTGCTACCATGTCCTGGCTATTGTAAATAGTGCTGCTTTGAGCATTGGAGTGCATGTATCTTTTCGAATTAGAGTTGTTGTTTTTTTTCCGGATATATGCCCAGGAGTGGGATTGCTGGATCATATGGTAACTCTGTTTTCACTTTTTAAAGGAATCTTCATACTGGTTTCCGTAGTGGCTGCACCAAATTACATTCTCACCAGCAGTGTAGGAGGGTTCCCTTTTCTCCACACCCTCTCCAGCATTTATCATTTGTGGACTTTTTAATGATGGACATTCTTTGACAGGTGTGAGATGATATCTCATTGGGTTTTGATTTGTGTTTCTCTGATAATTAGTGATATTGAGCATCTTTTGATGTGCGTGTTGGCCATCTGTATGTCTTCTCTATAGAAGGTTTAGGTCTTCTGCCCATATTTTGATTGAGTTGTTTGGGGTTTTTTTGTTATTAAGCTGTATTAGCTGTTTGTATATTTTGGAAGTTAAGCCCTTTTCAGTCTTGTTATTGGCAAATATTTTCTCCCAGTCTGTAGGCTGTCTTTTCATTTTATGGTTTCCCATTCACTTCTTGTACATTCATTTATTATTCACAAACTCATACTTATTTACTCACTCATTAATACCCTGTTAAAAATTTAATTTTCCTTCCTTCAGTATTCAGCAACCTCAATACAAAATCTAAGTTAATTTGCCTCAGCCCTTAGTCATCTGGCTTGGGGACTTCCCCAATACCACCTTGAGTAAACCTGTGGGGTAGGGGGCTTTGAGAATTTCAGTTACTTGCCCAAGGGCACAGGACAAGTAAATGGCAGGGTTGGGATTTGAACCCAGGCAGAGGTGGCTATGTGATTTGCAGGGCCCAGTGCAAACAGAAAATGTAGTCCTTGTCCAAAAGTGATTAAGAATTTCCCAACAAGGACAGCAGAACATTAAACCCAAGTGTTGGGCCCTTCTGAGCGTGGGGTCCTGGGTGACTGCACCTATGGCCACCCTTGCGAAGCATGAACCCCATCCCCAAAGTCAGACCCCTACCCCAACACTCTCTCCTTTCCTTTGCTGCTACCTGCCCCAAGGTTATTGAGGATTATGGGAAAGATGAAGGAGGTTGCCAAGTTCAGGAATGTTCAAGAAATGCGTAGTGTTCTCTACACCTCCCAGCTTTTGAGTGTGCTATTCCCTCTGCTTGGAACACTGTTCCATACCTTCTTCACCTGGCTACCTCTTGGGCCTTCTTCAGGTCTCAGCTGAGACGCAGGTCTTCATGTATGATTCCTTGACCGATTGCTTAGTGGCTGCCCTCCCTGGCACCATGCTTTCTTCTTCCTGAATCTTAAGGAAATTATCTGTATTAGTCAATTCAGGTTGCTGTAACAACTACCACAGACTGCGTGGCTATATTAGTTAGGACCCTCCAGAGAAACAGAACCCAGTAGGAGATACATATGTAGTAGGAATTAGCCCATGTGGTTATGGAAGCTGAGAAGCCCTGTGATCTGCCATCTGCAAGCTGGAGAACAGGCACAGCTCGTGGTGTAATTTAATCCAAGTCTGAAGCCCCAAGAACCAGGGGCCCCAATGTCCAAGGGTAGGAAATATGGATGTCCCAGCTCAAGAAGAGAGAGAAGTCACCCGTCCTCCATCTTTTTGTTCTATTGGGGCCCTCGGTGGACTGGATGACGCCCACGTTGCTGAGGGTGATTCTCTTTACTTAGTCTACTGATTCTCTCCCAGAAACACCCAGAAATAATGTTTCACCTGCTACCTGGGCATCTCTTAGCTCCGCTGAGTTGACACATGACATTAACTATCACAGTAGCTTACACAACAAACCTTTATTTCTTAGAGTTCTGGAGGCTAGAAGTTCCAGATCACGGTGCCACAGCACTGCAGGTCCTGACAAACCATGGTATCTTTTATGTCGTTGACTGTCCTTAGAATGTTGTATACTCTCTATAGGGAAAAAAAATCAGGAAATGCAGACAAGCAAGCGAGAGGAGAGGAGAGCTGGGGAGGGGAAAGGTGGAGTCAGAATGAGGTTGGGGGGCAGATAATTGATAGGGCAGGATAGCAGGGGAATTTGGGAAGGGAATCCAGAAAGTGGAAGGGCACGCCTTGGATTCATCTACCTTCCAGAGGAAAGACTGAGAACAGGCTGTGGGGAGGGAAATGGGGAGATTTGGGGACCCCCACATCATAGAGCGTCCCCAGCTGTGCTCAGAGTAAGCTGCAGACAGAGTAAGGACACACGTGCACAGCAAGTTCTAATTTGACTGGTCGCTGCTCCCAACTTCACATCAGGACTTCTGTCCCGCTCACATTTCTCCCTCCCAGGCTTGCTGGAGCTGGTGTGCGCTGGTTTACAAGAGCTCACTGCTAAATTTTCAGGATTTTTGGACAGCCAGATATTAAACCCAGCTAGCAGTGAACATTAAATTACAGAGATTAGCAAATTTGTTAACACTGAACAAATCATATAAAAACAAAGGTGATGGGAGGAGGGTCTAGCTCAGGGGTAGAGCAAGTGCTTAGCAAGCACAGGTCCTGGGTTCAATCTCCAGTACCTCCATCAAAAAATAAAAATAAACAAGTGAATAAACCTAATTATGTCCCCCCACAAAACAAATTAAAAAAAAATTACAGGTGATACATACTGAAAAACTCATCACCTCCTAATTACTCACTAAGTGTTACTGTTCTCTGTGCTTGGGAGGTGACTTATGCCTGTGAATCTACGCGGTGGAAATACCATGGGATGGTTTGGACCCCCTGTCTCCCAGTTTCTGGCCCTATGACTCCACGGGGTAGCTGGAAACCGTCCCTGATGGAAGTATCTCCATCCTCAGCAAGCCTGCTCCCGGGGGCCCCCTGACCTTGCTGTCTC